TCGTGGAACAAGATGAATGGAGTTATGTAGCTACGTTCTTTAATTACTCTCATAGCAATATGTGGAGAGCAGATTATGACCAGTCTTTCATTTGGCTTATCTTTACAGAAATAACTGTTTCGAGTCACCAACTCCCCGTCCGGCCTTTCAAATGCTATAGCGAACGGGAGATCAGGGATTGAGCTGATGTGGGTAGTGTTTTGCAGCCACTGACCAGCAGTATCTGTTACAGACTTGATGTTGCAGCAGAAAATGATCTGAAATGACAAAAAAAACCATAATAATGATAAATTTAAAGAAATTGTTTTTAAATCGATCAGTCAAGACTGTTTCAGCATATGATTATTATATAAACATTGGTAAACATTGAAAAAGATTTAATCCACTAAAGTCTAATGATAAATACAGTCAGCTTAGCGAGGGGGTCTTTTTCATGCCGAGTATTTCTAATCTTCTGGACCGTAGCAGCCAACATTGCGATGGTAGTAGTTTTACCAGCATTAGTGATAGCACGGTACATTATATAACATCCATTTTCAACGTTTTCCTCTAGGATTTTACATATTTTGGATTGATGTGGATAAGGTTTGACTGCTGAAACTGGGAGGACAGTGTCAAAGTCACTGAAAATTAACAATTGTGGAGATGTACGGTATAGTTTCTCGGCACTGAATTCGAATTTCTCTTTTAGCTCCGCCAATTTATCTCTCAAATCATTTATTAGGGTAACTGAAACGATGTCGTCTTTCAAAGAATCAAGATGCGACTTCCCTTTCAGTTTTTCCGTTACCTTGATGAATCTTTCTAATGACACAATGATACTGCAAGTTAAGGCAGTCAATTCCTGACTTTTCTGCTTTGTCAACAAGAACCATGCACAACATAGAAAACCAATCCCTCGCATCTCCACAATCTTTTCCAAAAACAGTTTCGGGCGTCGAAAGTCGTCATTACCGGCAAATGCGGATAAAGCTCCTTCAACTGTCGAGTTTAAGCTACCGATTGAATTTTGTATTCTAATCTGATCAGCTTTCGAAGGCCCTTTAGCTCCTTTCGCCTTATTCGCTCCCCCACCTTTCCGACCACCTTTTCGGTTTTTATTTTGTTTAATACTCCCTCCTATACTAAGAGTACTCCAACTAGCTGAGTCGTCACCATTTAGTAGCTTCATTTTACCTAAGATCAAGGAGGGACGAACCGCTTGATACAGATAATCACCCATCACTGTGCTAACTGATTCATAATCAATATTATTTGTAACAGCACAAACCAAATTCTTCAGAACCAACAAGTCAAAATCGCTTAACTTAACTTCCGTATTAAGCCAATCAGTTTTGGACCATTTTACGTCTACTCCCGAAGCAGTTAAGGTGTTTTTAACTGAAGATGAACCTTTGTTAAATGTTGTGACAATCGTACTGGGCTGTGTCGCAGCCATGCTACCTGAATGGATACAATTTGTAACAAATGCTCAGGTTTAGTACTCCGTACTCAACACAATTTAAAACAACAACATTGACAATTGACAGTTCTAATAATTACCGTTACTATATAGGCTCCTATAGAAGCGTGATTTCAGAACTTGGTTGTGATCACCATTGCATTTACATCAACAATTTCTCTCATCATACGTTCCAATCTTATTAATAAATGTATACATGTATGAGGTAACAATTTGATCCTCATCGTCATGTCCTCACTTATACTTATAGACACTATATTAGATGTCTTCACTTATAGTCACTGTTGTGATTACAGTTTGAGTGTAATCTAACTACGTTAATTAACAAACAAACAAACAAACAGCTAGACTTCCAGAGTAGATTTCAGAGCAAAACGAAGGAATAATATGATTTCTTGCGGGAATCATTCCTGAAATATTGTCGACAGGTTAAAATCTACTAGCAGGAACCTAATCTTACACTCAGCTCTTATGGCAATTCTACATTTAAAAACGGACAAAAAATAACAAAAATGGAAATAACATTTAGATGCTTCCTCCTCTTCCTCTTCCTCCTCCTCCTCCTCTTCCTCCTCCTCCTCCTCCTCTTCCTCCTCCTCCTCCTCCTCCTCTTCCTCCTCAGTCATCCTCCTCAGTCTTCATCCTCCTCCTGGGTCCTCCTCCTCATTTTCCTCCTTCTCTTCCTCAGTCCTTCTCCTCCTCCTTCTCCTCAGTCTTCCTCGTCCTCGTCCTCCCTCTCAGTCCTCCTCCTCAGTCATCCTCTTCAGGCATCCTCCTCAGTCCTCCTCAGTCCTCTTCCTCTTCCTAAGTCCTCCTAAGTCCTCCTACTCCTCCTCCCCTCCTCCTCAGTCCTCCTCAGTCCTCCTCCTCAGTCCTCCTCAGTCCTCAGTCCTCCTCCTCAGTCCTCTTCCTCATCCTTCTCCTTAGTTCTCCTCCTCCCCAGTCATCCTCAGTCCTCCTCCTCCTCAGTAGTCAGTCCTCCCCAGTCCCCCTCCTCGTCCTCCTATTCAGTCCTCGTCCTCCCCAGTTCTCTTCAGTCCTCATTCTAAGTAGTCCTCAGTCCTCCTCCTAAGTCCTACTCCTCCTCCTCCCCCTCTTGGGTCCTCCTCCTAGGTCCTCCTCCTTCTCCTTCTCCTCAGTCTTTGTCCTCCTTCTTCGCAGTCCTCCTCCTCCTCGTCCTCCTCTCTTCCCTCTCAGTCATCCTCCTCAGCCATCCTCCTCAGTTCTCCTCAGTCCTCATCCTCCTTCTCAGTCCTCCTCCTCATCCTTCTCCTCAGTCCTCCTCCTCCTCAGTCCTCCTCAGTCCTCCTCCTCAGTCCTCCTCCCCAATCCTCCCCTAGTCCTCCTCCTCCTCCACCTCCTGGGTCCTCCTCCTCCTCCTGGGTCCTCCTCCTGTGTTCTCCTTCTCCTCCTCAGTCCTCCTCCTCCTCATCAGTCCTCCTCCTCAGTCATCCTCCTCCTATTCACTCCTCCTCCTCCTCCTCCTCTTCATAAGTCCTCCTCCTCCTTCTCCTTCCTCCTTTAAATAAAAAGTTGTCCGTTTTTGTCCGTTTGGTACCTATATTTTCAAAACGGACAAAAATTAACGGACAAAAAAGGACAAAAACGGACAAAAAATAACATGATCCCCCCCCCCCCCCCCCATAAATATCATCACGACGATTATTGGTCACTCCTTCTAAGTAGTCCTCAGTCCTCCTCCTAAGTCCTACTCCTCCTCCTCCCCCTCTTGGGTCCTCCTCCTAGGTCCTCCTCCTTCTCCTTCTCCTCAGTCTTTGTCCTCCTTCTTCGCAGTCCTCCTCGTCCTCCTCTCTTCCCTCTCAGTCATCCTCCTCAGCCATCCTCCTCAGTTCTCCTCAGTCCTCATCCTCCTTCTCATCCTTCTCCTTAGTCCTCCTCCTCCTCAGTCCTCCTCAGTCCTCCTCCTCAGTCCTCCTCCCCAGTCCTCCCCTAGTCCCCCTCCTCCTCCTCCTATTGAGTTCTCCTCAGTCCTCCTCCTTCTCAGTCCTCCACCTCCTGGGTCCTCCTCCTCCTCCTGGGTCCTCCTCCTGTGTTCTCCTTCTCCTCCTGGGTCCTCCTCCTCCTCATCAGTCCTCCTCCTCAGTCATCCTCCTCCTATTCACTCCTCCTCCTCCTCCTCCTCTTCATAAGTCCTCCTCCTCCTTCTCCTTCCTCCTCCTCCTCCTAGACTGTTCTTAGTACCTAATTGAGGATTAAAAATTTGAGAAAGGACCATGGTCATTAATCGGGCTACCCATTTCTGCAGATAGCCTGTTACAAATTGTGGAGAAAATTTAAATAAAAAGTTGTCCGTTTTTGTCCGTTTGGTACCTATATTTTCAAAACGGACAAAAATTAACGGACAAAAAAGGACAAAAACGGACAAAAAATAACATTATCCCTGGTGGAACCTAAGCGATCCATGATATCACGACAGGCCCTACAATCTGTTATAGAGCCCTTTAATGTTTTTTTGAGAATACTCCTTACTCTAAGCTTCTAAGCTGACCACAATCCTATCCCTAAAAGTTTTTGTTTTTTTACTAGCCTGTCACGTGGCGAAGACCGTTTTTTCGCCCATGACTCATAGTCATAAAGGAAGTGCTTTTACCCTAGATTTCATTGAGAAAATTTGGAATCAATGTCCAAAAAATCCATCGATAGAATTTACTTTCTTACCCTCAGGGCCTTTCTCATCAATACCAATTTCTGAAACCCAAGATTTGAGTCATTCCCGACAATTACCAGACCCTAGGAACATGCTCTAACATATCTTGTCTTGAATTATTGAAACAAATTGCCTCACGATGGTTCCTACCCCATAACATGTAGTTTCACAGATATATTCAGTAATACTGATTATACTGACTATAACAATAATAAGTTAAATATAACTAAGCCATCTGTAATAAGCTCAAAATTATACTTTACTCTGAAACGCAATTCCGATCCCACAACAATGAATTTATTTGATCCTAGTGCATCGAGCACGCATTAATTTCATGCATTTAGTATTTACGGTGATTACTTGAAATTAAGGATCCCCATTTTTTGGGAATTTGATTGGAAATCATTAAATCGTCATATGAATTATTGTTACAATCAATAGAGCTTTGACATGCGGACATGCTAACATGCTGGTCACAATTGAGATAGAGATCAAAGACAAAACCGTGCTACTAAATTTGTTACTCAATATGAGACCAGAAGGATTAATCGTTTCATTTTCCACTGTCATTATCATGATGATGTGTACTGACAGACAAGTGAAAATCTTATCTTGGAGCAGAAAAATTTGAAAGTGAAAATCCAAAAATGGATCAATATAGACAACTACGAATGATAAAACATGTTCTCTCATCAAATAAAGCTTATAAAGGGCAGCTCAAACTTACAGACTAGACTACCGGAGGGGAGAAGACACAAATGTAATTTAATAACAGCTCGATTAACCAATCAGCGATCAAATTAGTAATTCGTTCAAGTCACAGGTCAACTGTTATATCACATTTACATCATCTTCCCATCAGTAGCTAAGTTTAGAGTTATAGAAAATCACAGGGGCTATTTAGGTGCTATCAATGATAGTTCTTAAAACGAACTCTATCGATACTATACTATTGAACCAAGTTTGATCTATGATGGATATTAAAAAGATGGCAATCACATCATATCAATATAATTTAAATTATAAACCCACACAGAATTTAAATAAATTTGAGATAGGATAAAGTTGATCATCTAACATATGCGAGTGGCAAGAAGGGTTATCTGAACTTAACTAGTATCTTTTATTTAAGTTAATGCAATATAATTCTTTTTACAATCATTCCAAACCATAAAATGTTGCGCGCTACCATGGTGCACGTGCTGATGCTACGCGCGCACTATTCATAATTCTTCCGGAAGAAAAGGAATTCCTTCGGCCCGAATGTTCTACTAACTTCTATTCAGTCAAAAATGGTTTTCGGAAAACCTTGGCACTTGTCTGAAGTTTTTTTGTGGTTCCCTAAATGTTAAAAACTGGAAAAATCGACAGAGCTCCTATCTTTTTGATCACCCATCGTAAAAAACTAGATCTAGATTGTGCTAGAACCATTGTGTTAGATTTACATACTGCTCAACCAGAGCCAATTTTTGTCACATTTCAAACAATCCAAAAGAACGACCAGAACCTTACTCTATTTGGATAACTTGGCTTAATTACTGAGTTAGCCAGCGGTCTGTAGAAAACTGTCAAGGAGAAAGTTGCACCTGAACAATATGAACCGGTTCTTACATAACCAGCTACACTTTTATCAATCTTCTAAGTTCTAATAGAAAATTTAAGATTCCTTTTTTAACGGCGGAAACAAGCTCTCATATTTTTTTATGAACCTTTGTCCTCTTTTACCAAATGTGGCAAATTAGATAGTGAAAATTAAACAAGTAAAAATCTTAATTTATAGCAGAAAATATTTTTAACGACAAATCAAATGCGTAATTGTCAGGGTCATCCGTTACAACAAATTTACATGCATTATCTCCCCATCAGTAGCAAACTTTATAGTAATAGAAAATTGCAGTAGGTACCATTTACATTCATGAATCAGGTGCTATCGCAATTATGGTTCTCAAAACTATCTAATTCTATCGATTCTATTTTACTCCAAGTTTGATCTAAGATAAACTTAATTAGTCAGTAAATGGTAATAAAATCAATATAATTATAAATCCACACATAATTTAAATGAATTTGAGATACGATATACAGTATGGACACAGGTCACAGTATAGTCGATATAGTCGATCATCTAAAAGATGCAAGCGGCAGGAAATGCTACCTAAACTTTGAAGTTAGTCTGTACTGACTATATTATATGCAAAAGAATTCTTTTTTACAATACCCTTTTACAAATTAAGTCACATTTAAACACTAAAAATTAACTTTACACAACACATACAAAATAAAGAAAATAAACTCGATCTAAATCAACAACAGTTAAAAATGAAGATGAATGAAACAATGGATTATGGATCATGATTTAAACCATATCCTGGCTCATGATTAACAAGTCTAGCTATTTCCTTTCCAATCTGCGCATATTTAATTTTAGGCACATTTCAGCTAAGCTTGATCGAACAGAGTTCAACCTTTTCTAGATATATTATCGCTCGAGAAATGAGAATATCAATGTTACATAGATCATGCAAAATTTACAATGATACAAATTGTCCCTAAAACAAGAGTTCGCCGATCACAAGAGACCCCCCCCCCCCCCCCCCCCTATGGCTATATCCTAGCGGGCTGATCGCTGCTTTTCGCGTTCCCGCAGAGTTATTTCCCGTGCTACACTTATCATGTTCTTAATCTCTACCTGACCATCGGGTGACTTATCGGAGTGAGAATAGTCTCTCATTGTACTCACCACTTCGTCTGATACGAAGGATTCAGCAAACCAGCTCTGACCAACACGACCTGGGCAAAGTGGACATGAGGAAAATTTGGCAATACCAACAGATATCCTGACAGTCTATATCATCAATTGAATAGTAAGTTTGACGAATGGTGATGATGACCTCCAATCAAACATCTTGTGATAATTTAATCGTTTTAAGATTAGATTCTAAGTTACCCAACACACAACATAACCTGCTCGAGACATGAGTTGAAAGACGGTGTTCATGCTATGTTCTGCAGTGAAATCATCACACACTATCGTCCGGGAGAAGGGGAAGTTAACTCCGTATGCTATGTTATGGTCCGCTACCAGATACGCCAATCTTCCTGTTTGTGCTAGTGATATCACTTGCCTGATGTTATGCAGGTTTTAGGTTGGATCGACTGAATGTGGAGTTGACGAGTGTGACGAGATAAACCAGACGAGAAGTCGAAATAAAATTAAAGATCATAAATCTAATTATATATGATAATAACATACGGATCGCCATCAATTTTAAGATAATAAGTCAACTTACTCGAGGTAACCGCCACTGTTGACTCTAGAATCTTCAGGAGCATATATTCCCACACCACAACATAATAGAAGCAAAACATCTTCAGGAGCATTCACAGTTTTCTCAATCAGAAAACTAAAATCACGATTGGGGATCCTTTCCACATCAACTTTACCGTTCGGAGAGAATTTTTTAGCGTGCAGTCGGGTGTTAATTTGATAGTATTTTGGGAAGGACAGGAACGGTTTGTTTGCAACCAGATCCATCGCTTGTTGACCATAGTCGCCTGTTCCTTGTTTTTCTATCTCTACTACCTCTCCAGTGGAGTTTCGTCTTTTCGATAAGGCTTGGGGTTTTTTCTTTCGCTTCTTTATCTTCTCGATCTCGCTCGACCACTGCTCTTGAACTTTCCAATATTGAGATACAAGCTTCTCAATACTGTACACCTTAGTATCGTTGATTTCTTCAATGTAGTCGGCGAATGCTTCCAGAGCAAAATCTAACGGATTTCCACTAGCAATAAGACTCATCTGGGAAAACTTAGAAGCACTTGTTGTGCCAAGGTTAGCAAATTCTACACTCCTTCCGGAGCATTTAATGGGTTTGGAGCATATTTCTTTGGTCGTAGAGTCGTCAGTTTTTGATACTTGGTCCAAAATCTTGAGCCCGAATAATCTCACTGCATCGGCACTGAGATTATCTATTTTGGAAAAGTGATCGCCAATCTTTGGTACGCCAGGTACTTCATACTCCGTGGCGAAGTTACACAGCTCTGACACGGACAAGGGAGTGTACGAACGGCTCAGGAACATGTTGTCCTTTATATTTGTCAAACATTCGGTAAGTTCGTCCGTTGAACCACTACCCAAGTGGGGCAAGAATGAGGTACCATTATGGGAATATATGTCGCAGCCTATGTTTATTTTGGCAGAAGCTACATTTTCAATGTGACCCGAGGGGTTCATTCTTTTGAACTTCTTTAAAAACGGGTCGAATTCGACCTCTGTGGGAAGGGTGGCGGAAGACACGATTGTCCATCTAGGAGGGCACATCAATACTTCAACATTTTTGGTCAGGTTTCTGCTTTCCCGATTTTCAGCTCCTGAAGTTGGTTCATCATGGAACAAGATGTATGGGGTTTCACTACGTTCTCTCATTATTCTCGTAGCAATATGAGGAGAGCAGATAATTACAAGTCTGTTTTCTGATTCTGGTCTAATCATTGCGCTGTTTCGAATCACTAATTCTCGGGTCTCAGGCCTTTCAAATGCTATAGCGAACGGGAGATCAGGGATTGAGCTGATGTGGGTAGTGTTTTGCAGCCACAGACCAGCAGCACTTGTTACAGTCTTTATGTTACAGCAGAAAATGATCTGAGAGAACAGAAATGTTAAATATCAGTTCAACTTTAAGCACAGATGATAGTTAGGGATAGATGACAGTAGGGAAGTTAAGTGGTCACTATGCAAATATTGAATCAATGTTATTATATTATCATAACCTCAGCTTTAAAGTTTTGAAATAGATTTTTTTCCATTCTGCATAAGTAACCAGCAAGATGGAAATGATCAAGAAAATCGCATTTTTCTATTTACTTGTTAAAATATAACTATAACTAGCAAATGGTGATAATTTATTTTAGTTATAGCGAACGCGAATCTCTGTAAACTTATAGACAGAGTAAAATTTAGACAAGGTTAAAGTAAACAATAAATAATACAACTTTACCGTCAGCTTAGCGAGGGGGTCTTTTTCATGCCGAGTATTTCTGATCTTCTGGACCGTAGCAGCCAACATTGCAATGGTAGTAGTTTTACCTGCATTAGTGATAGCACGGTACATAATATAACATCCATTGTCAAGGTTTTCCTCCAGTATTTTACATACTCTGGCTTGATGTGGATAAGGTTTGACTGATGATACTGGGAGTACAGTATCAAACTCACTGAAAATTAACAATTTCGGACACGTTAGATATAACTTCTCGCCGTTGAATTCGAACGCTTCTTTTAGCTCTGCCAATTTCTCCCTTAAATCTTTTATAAGGGTTTCTGAAACTAGATCTTCTTTCAAAGAATCAACATGCGACTTTCCTTTTAGTTTCTCCGTTACCTTGATGAATCTTTCTAGGGACACGATGATACTGTAAGTTAAGGCAGTAAATTCCTGGTCCAAAGACAGACTTTTCCGCTTTGTCAACAAGAACCATGCACAACATAGAAATCCAATCCCCCGCATCTCCACGATCTTTTCCAAAAACAGTCTTGGACTTCGGAATTCGTCAATATGACTGTCAAATGCGCTTAAAGCTACTTCCACTTTTGTGTTTAAACCACCGACTGAATTTTGCATTCTAATCTGATCAGCTTTCGAAGGCCCTTTAGCGCCTTTAGTCCCCCCACCTTTCCGACCACCTTTTCTGTTTTTAGTTTGTTTAATACTCCCTCCTAAACCAGAAGTACTGTTATTAACTCTAGAATCGTCACCCTTTAGCAGCTTTATTTTACCTAAGTTCAAAGAGGGACGAACAGCTTGATACAGATAATCACCCATTACCGTGCAAACTGAAACGTTATCAAGCTTATCACTAGCAGCACCCACCAGATTCTTTAGGACCAACAAGTCAAAATCATTTAACTTAACTTCCGTATTAAGCCAATCAGCTCGGGTCCATTTTACGTCTACTCCCGAAGCAGTTAAGGTATCTTTAACTGAAGATGAACCTTTGTTAAATGTTGTGACAATCGTACTGCCACTGGGCTGTGTTGCAGCCATGCTACCTGAAAGGATAACATTTTTTATAGAGCCCTTTCAGTTTCACCCTTTGAATTGTTGATTATTTTTCGCAAGAAACTATCCGGTATTTCTATAATAGACAACGTCATAGACAGTGGTGCAAGAGACAAATTGGGACCTAAAAACCGCTCTTAGACTTGGAGAAGGCTCATAATATTTTGCTCGCTCAAATATTATCAAGTTAGTTGGGTTTGTACGGTTTTGCAGCCGAATGAAACAATCTTACGAAAACCCTAACCGGAACCAATATAATAATCCAAACCACAACCCTATCCCTGAAAAATTTATCTTTTTACTTATAGCCTGTCAGTGTCGCGTGGTCAAGACCGTTTTTTGCCCCTGTATCCCAATACAAGGGAGGCGTTTTAGATTTTATAGGGGGAAATTTGGAATCAGTGTCCGAAAAATTTCTGAGACCCACGATTCGAGTCATCCCCAACAATTGCCAGACCCTAATACTTAGTTTGTAATTTTGAGCAAATTTTTAAGTATTTTTAAATTTTTGGATCTAAACATGCAGTAAGTTAAGGGGTCGTTCACATATTACGTAATCAATGTCCCCCCTCCGTAATTAGTTTTACACATAGCTATTGTGTCAAAATTACACTAGCATAATCATTTGGAAACCCCCCCTCCCCCTCGGCTGATTACTGTCTAGTTAATGATTATACTAATTATAACAATAATAAGTTAAATACAACTAAGCCATCTGTAGTAACTATAAGCTCAAAATTCTACTTTACTCTGAAACGCAATTCCGATCCTACAACAATGACTTTATTTGATCGTAGTGCATCGGGCACGCATTAATTTCATGCATTTAGTATTTACGGTGATTACTTGAAATTAATGATCCCCATTTTTTAGGAATTTGATTGGAAATCATTAAATCGTCACATGAATTATGGTTACAATCATAAGATCTTTGACATGCGGACATGCTAACATGCTGGTTACAATTGAGATAAACTATAGAGATCAAAGACAAGACCGGGCTACTTAATTTGTTACTCAATATGAGACCAGAAGGATTAATCGTTTCATTTTCCACTGTCATTATCATGATTATGTGTACTGACAGACAAGTGAAAATCTTATCTTGGAGCAGAAAAATTTGAAAGTGAAAATCCAAAAATGGATCAATATAGACAACTACGAATGATAAAACATGTTCTCTCATCAAATAAAGCTTATAAAGGGCAGCTCAAACTTACAGACTAGACTACCGGAGGGGAGGAGACACAAATGTAATTTGATAACAGCTCGATTAACCAATCAGCGATCAAATTAGTAATTCGTTCAAGTCACAGGTCAACTGTTATATCACATTTACATCATCTTCCCATCAGTAGCAAAGTTTAGAGTTATAGAAAATCACAGGGGCTATTTAGGTGCTATCAATGATAGTTCTTAAAACGAACTCTATCGATTCTATTGAACCAAGTTTGATCTATGATGGATATTAAAAAGATGGCAATCACATCATATCAATATAATTTAAATTATAAACCCACACAGAATTTAAATAAATTTGAGATAGGATAAAGTCGATCATCTAACATATGCGAGTGGCAAGAAGGGTTATCTGAACTTGACTAGTATCTTTTGTTTAAGTTAATGCAATATAATTCTTTTTACAATCATTCCAAACCAAGGATAGCGCAATAAAAATTAGGTCACCCTAACAATTGACGTTACACTACAAATAAAAAATAAACATGATCCCAACGCCCAAGTTGAAACCAGCTTTACAAATAGAGATGAACCAGAAATGAGAATTGATTGTGATCGCTGTGGCTTTAACATTAAAATATTAGTGATACTTTTAAAACTTAGGAGGTGATGTGACTAAAAATAACCTAATCTGAAAAATATTTTTCCTCTGCCAACATATTTTTTCACGTTATCAGGACATTTCAAAATAAAAAGTATTGTGGAAAACTTGAGATATAGAAGCCATGCCGGGAAACTCACTAATACCAATTTAGACCTACTAGCCAATATTCTAAAACCAGAAATCACAAGGTTTCGAAGTATTAACTTTAAAGTGCATTAAAATATATGAAAGACATTCCATAAAATAAATTACTTTCCCTGCTTCGCCTATTTTACCTACAAACAATTCACAATATATTATGATTAACACAACTAGCTACATCCCTATAATCAATCTGCAAAAAAGCAAATTTTAAGAAGGAAAATAACGGACACGCTATCCAACAATTTGATGGACAACTTCACTACACTAAACCTTCATCGACTACCCGCAAACCGACCCAATACTTGACCAAACAAAGATTTTAAATATATAGTATCATGAGAAATGAGAATATCAATGTTACGTAGATGCAAAATTTACAATACCCATCAGTAAACAACAATACAAATTGTCCCTAAAACAAGACTTCACCTAAATATCCTGCCCTATCATCACAGACCCCCTATACCCTCACGGGCTTGCCTCTGTTCACGGTCTCTTATCGTTATTTCCCGTGCTACACTTATCATGTTCTTAATCTCCACCTGACCATCGGGTGACTTATCGGAGTGAGAATAGTCTCTCATTGTACTCACCACTTCGTCTGATACGAAGGATTCTGCAAACCAGCTCTGACCAACACGACCTGGGCAAAGGGGTAATAAGAAAAATAGGGAGAATTTGGTAACACCTAAAGGCCATTGGAGCCTGGAGGCGAAAATTCGGAACTAATCATCTCGACAAATGTTTTGACCCTCATATTATAAACTAATAAAACTAACCTGCTCGAGACATGAGTTGAAAGACGGTGTTCATGCTATGATCTGCAGTGAAATCATCACACACTATCGTCCGGGAGAAGGGGAAGTTAACTCCGTATGCTATGTTATGGTCCGCTACCAGATACGCCAATCTTCCTGTTTTTGCTAGTGATATCACTTGCCTGAGGTGATGATAGGGTAAATTCTAGATCAAGATGACAAGATAAGCAACAAATTCCAAGGAGCATGTGTCAATAAGCTAGTTATTATAAAGTTATAAGTTCATAATAAATAACGCGAACGGTTTTTTAGAAAAAAGAAACTTACTCGAGGTAACCGCCACTGTTGACTCTAGAATCTTCAGGAGCATATATTCCCACGCCACAACATAATAGAAGCAAAACATCTCCAGGTACATTCAGATTTTTTTTCGAATCAGTCAGAAAACTAAAATCAGGGTTGGGGTACCTCTCCACATCTATTTTCCCGTTCGGAGAGTATTTTTCAGCGTGCAGCCGGGTGTTAATTTGATAATATTCGGGGAAGGACAGGAACGGTTTGTTTGCGAGCAGATCCATTTCTTGTTGCTCATAGTCTACCTTTTCTTCTTTTTCTGCCTCTCCAGTGGAGTTTCGTCTTTTCGATGAGGCTGGGGGTTTTTTCTTTCGCTTCTTTATCTTCTCGATCTCGCTCGACCACTGTTCCTGAACTTTCCAATATTGAGATACAAGCTTCTCAATACTGTACACCTTAGTATCGTTGATTTCTTCAATGAAGTCGGCGAAGGTCTCCAGTGCAAATGCTAATGGATCTCCACTTGCAATGAGACTCATCTGGGAAAACTTAGAAGCACTTGTTGTGCCAAGGTTAGCAAATTCTACACTCCTTCCGGAGCATTTGATGGGTTTGGAGCATATTTCTTTGGTCGTAGAGTCGTCAGTTTTGGATACCTGGTCCAAAATCTTGAGCCCGAATAATCTCACTGCATCGGCACTGAGATTATCTATTTTGGAAAAGTGATCGCCAATCTTTGGTACGCCAGGTACTTCATACTCTGTGGCGAAGTTACACAGCTCTGACACGGATAAGGGAGTGTACGAACGGCTAAGGAACATGTTGTCCTTAATATTTGTCAAACATTCGGTAAGTTCGTCCGTTGAACCGCTACCCAAGTGGGGCAAGAATGAGGTACCATTATGGGAATATATGTCGCAGCCAATGTTTATTTTGGCAGAAGCTACATTTTCAATGTGACCCGAGGGGTTCATTCTTTTGAACCTCTTTATAAATGGGTCGAGTTCGACCTCTGTGGGAAGAGTGGCGGAAGACACGATTGTCCATCTAGGAGGGCACATCATTATTTCAACATTTTGGTGAAGGTAACTGCTTTCCCGGTTCTCAGCTCCGGAAGTTGGTTCATCATGGAACAAGATGAATGGAGCTGTGCCGCTACGTTCTTTAATTACTCTCATAGCAATATGTGGAGAGCAGATTATGACCAGTCTGTCATCTGGCCTATCTTTGCACATAAAACTGTTACGAATCACCAACTCCCCGTCCGGCCTATCAAATGCTATAGCAAACGGAAGTTGATCAATGGAGTTGATGTTGGTTGAGTTGTACAGCCATTGACCAGCAGCATCTTTTACAGGGTTGACGTTGCAGCAGAAGATTATCTGAAACGATTCAAATATTAACCACTAACGAGAGTAATTCCTTTCCTGATAAAAGCATTTTTGCTTGTCGCATCAAACGGGATCATTACAAATTTACACAAGAATACTAACGAGAGAATGTAAAATCAATCTTTAATAATTAAGACTGTTCCAAAATATGATTCCCTTATTAATTTTCCCTTCCTGTAGCAGAATGAATTGAATAACTACTAAATGAAAGCCTAGCTTATACTACGGATGAGCGGTCTGAACCACTAACAGACTGAATCCCTACCGCTTAATAACTACCAGTAGGCAATAGGGTTAGGGAGTGGGTTAGGGGATGGGGGTAGGGTTACAGTAAGCGGCATTGATTCGGTCTGTTAGGGATCCCAACCACGCGACATGCAAGAATTGAGTTAAACTTATCTAAATATTTAAATAATACAAGCTTATATAGCTATATATATAAAGTCTAATGATAACATACCGTCAGCTTAGCGAGGGGGTCTTTTTCATGCCTAGTGTTTCTGATCTTCTGGACCGTAGCAGCCAACATTGCAATGGTAGTAGTTTTACCCGCATTAGTGATAGCACGGTACATAATATAACATCCATTGTCAATGTTATCCTCCAGGATTTTACATATTTTGGATTGATGTGGATAAGGTTTGACTGCTGATACTGGGAGGACAGTATCAAAGTCACTGAAAATTAACAATTGTGGAGATGTACGGTATAGTTTCTCGCCACTGAATTCGAATTTCTCTTTTAGCTCCGCCAATTTGTCCTTCAAATCGTTTATTAGGGTAACTGAAACGATGTCGTCTTTCAAAGAATCAAGATGCGACTTCCCTTTCAGTTTTTCCGTTACCTTGATGAATCTCTCTAATGACACAATGATACTGTAAGTTAAGGCAGTCAATTCCTGGTCCCAAGACAGACTTTTCCGCTTTGTCAACAAGAACCATGCACAACATAGAAAACCAATCCCTCGCATCTCCACGATCTTTTCCAAAAACAGTTTCGGGCGTCGAAAGTCGTCATTACCGGCAAATGCGGATAAAGCTCCTTCAACTTTCGAGTTTAAGCTACCGATTGAATTTTGCATTCTAATCTGATCAGCTTTCGAAGGCCCTTTCGCCCCTTTCGCCTTATTCGCTCCCCCACCTTTCCGACCACCTTTTCTGTTTTTAGTTTGTTTAATACTCCCTCCTATACTAGGAGTACTTGCTCTAGACTCATTAATCTCTAACAGCTTCATTTTATCAGAATTCAGGCAGGCCCGAACCGCTTGATACAGATAATCACCCATTACCGTGCAAACTGAATCGTTATCAAGCTTATCACTAGCAGCACCCACCAGATTCTTTAGGACCAACAAGTCGAAATCATTCAACCTAACTTCAGTCTTTGCCCACGTGTCTTTGGACCATTTGGTGTCGACACCAGCGGCAGTTAAGGTCAAGCCAACTGAAGCTGAACCAGTGGCTACTTTTGTAGTCGCCATACTACCTGTGCGGATAACAACTGTGATTTTGTGTAATACATTTCAAAGCAATATAAGAATAGCCACCATGAATAACAAGACTTAGATGAAATGTAAGGATATCGGAATCGAAAGCTTCCTGCTTATTAGTAGAGCGGACTGCAGTGATGCCATTACATCACTTTTCATTTTCGACTACTTCAGAAAATTAAGCTAAGAACGCGCGTGGCCAAAAAGTACTAAATTTCGCAAGGCGCGTTACATAAAAGCTAGTCTGAAGAAAATAATCTGTGACAATGCGACGAAAATCGCGTCCATCGGCCTTTTGTCTCGTCAGGGCTTTCCTAAAAGCCACTCAAACTGAGAAATGCTTGTGTTAGTGAGAAGACATGTCAGTAGCAAGCTAATATAATATTTAGATAAGTTAGATAAGATTATAAATATTGATAAAGATAAATCTGAAATCCCGTTAAGGGTCGTCACATATTACGTAATCATTTTATGGCCAATTTTACCCCCACCCTCCTCCGTAGTCGCTTAAACATATGGCTATTGTGTTAAAATAACACTAGCGTAATAATTTAGAAACCCCTCCACCCCTTAGTGATCACGCAATATGTGAACGACCCCTTAGTTTAGGTAAATGAAAGGTTCAACGCGACGTCATATAATAGGCATCAAATCCCATTCTGCGTTTCATTTAATTCTGTAATCTTTTGTTAATTTTGATTGATGAACTGCATAACATGATAACGGAGAATAGATAGAAACTTTAACGGTTTTAACTACTATGCTGTAAATCTGATTTACCAAGCCCATTCATAGAATAATTAGAATAACCTGTTCCTTTTCAGCATAATATATAATATAGCTTAATCATAAATGGGATGATAGAGCAGAAATAAATGTTGCCAAAATAAGATTGGAAATTAAAGTAAGCAAAATGGAGGGTAGCACTTGAATCATTATTTAAAGGAGACCTGACACTATGTAGGAAATTAAGCATATTTTTTAAAGTATAACTGTATCTGTAAACATTCTGACTTTAACATGCAATAATTTGCATATTGGGTATCTATATCAGAGAAAAAGTTCCTTCAGACCGATTTGTCTGCCCGGTCAACTCAGTTGAATAAACGGAAAACGGATTGAGGATCAAAAGAGGAGCTCTAGTAGTGTATCAAAGTACCGGAGACTAGGAGTGCACAGTGTGGTCAGGAATTAGCAGCAAGCGAATTAAATAGACGGATTGTAGTTGACATGTTACCTGAGGTTCGACCCCACATGTATCTTATTCAGGGCCACCCGGCTCAGTATGATATTGCGATATCAGTGCATTAATATTCTGCATTTCGCCTGTCAAATTAACTATATTATAGCTGGTCGTATCTGATAATAAAGTGGGGGGGGGGGGGGGGGGGGGGGGGCAACCATATCAAAGTATATTAAAATGTAGGATTTTTTCCGATTTTGACCCGGGGATTATATACTTTAATATACTTTAATTTTACCAAAACCCATAATCATGGGTAGAGTGGACCGCTGTCAGTGTCTCTCTTTCCCAAACAAAAGGAAATGATATTACTTTGATTGACCGTTCTCAAATGCAAAATGATACCGAGAATGAAATCGGTCGCTCGCTTTTCCCATTCATTCACGGCTTACGAATTGTAATAAGTTTCGATTGATTACATCAATCAGATGCTGTAAAAATATCTTTGGGTTGCGTTCGGGTCGATACCTAGTATTTCGGGGTAAGGGTGGTAGTTAGTATTACTTATTGAATTAGCTGAAGTTTATTGAATCTTCATTGCCGAGTACAGCTGCCTTTGGGTAGTTTTTCTTAATCTATTACAATTGTAAATGAATGGGAAAAGCGAGCGACCGATTTCATTCTCGGTATCATTTTGCATTTGAGAACGGTCAATCAAAGTAATATCATTTCCTTTTGTTTGGGAAAGAGAGACACTGACAGCGGTCCACTCTACCCATGATTATGGGTTTTGGTAAAATATCATCTCTTTTTGATTATAATGTCAGGGTACTTTATAAAGTCGAAATATAAACTGATATCTTCATTAATAAGGAGGAAGTTTCAACGATTTCGAAATCTATCCTTTAAAAACATTTCCTTGTGTTTAGGGAAGCATATCGGTCGATCACTGACTGAATATGCCACTTAATACTCATTCAAGTTGGCATTAAATTCATATATAATGACATTAAACTGTCGTGGCAAAGCAGAATTTGTTGGAAATCACGAATGAGCAAAATTCTCACCTTTCGCACGTGCAAACTTTGAGCAGACGTTGCGTGCGCATCCAATATTGAATCGCCGTAAATTTTTGCATGTAATTGTTTTATATATAGCTTGATAAGCATGCAAAGTTTCAAAGTATTTTAAGAAGAACTGTAATCACAACGGCACTCTAAAGTTGACAGAAAATGACGAAAACAGCAATTTTCAGTGATTTTAGCGATTTTCTATCAATTTGGGCGTGTCCCAACGTGTGCAACTTTTCGATTTTCAACTTTAAAACTAGCCTACGACACAATTTATACCTATAGGAAGCAGAACTGAGCTCCACAACCCAAGGCATGGCCCAACACCAGAGAATACTAAATCGCAAAATTGACGTTTTTATAAAATAATTCTTCAAAAAAGCACAAACTTCAATGACGAATATCTTTATGAAGGAGTAAGCTAGAAAAACTTTCCGGTAGATTTTCAGAATGCTTGAACAATTATCTAAGGTAAAAATTTCCTCAGATTTTGAATAAAATTACTCCTTAATGGTTTAAAATTAATTTTAAAAGTTATTACTTTGTCAAAAATCAAGTTTTAAAAACGGTTAACTTGATGACGTCATCAAGGGGTGTTTATGACGTCATATAATTTTTTTATACAATGTAAACTAAAGTATAAACAATTATTTGCAAGACCTGTGGTCGGAAATGGCTGTATCTTTTATACTTTTGAATCTATGGACAATTAAATACAGGCTACAATTGACTGGCAAAGCGTCTATCCCTGAATATATGTATATATGTATCACGACAATCTATCGTAAAACAGGGGTTCTAGAAAACCCACTTCCCGATGCTCCTGAAACCTGAAACTTTTTTTGCAGTCGATTTGGTCAACGTCTAGACGCCCTGAAAAATTTCAGATCTCTAACTCAATTTTAACTTGGTTTTTAAGGCACCTGAATATGGCGATTTTGGGTTTTTTACCGAATTTCGTATAACAGTGCTGGCGAGTATTTTTACTATTTTATGCAAATTTCTTAAAAATCGCAACATAACTATTTTTATTCCTGTCATCTTTGACATCAAATTAGAATGTTTTGAACTAAAAATAAATCTGCTGAACGACTTCCGCTGAGTCTTAATGCCTGAAAAACTCCTGCCGGCCTTCGGCCGGAGTGCACGCTTCGCGTGCACGAAAGAGGCTTCCGACGAGTACCAAAGGGGTTATAATAGTAAAGGGGGTATAATAGTAAAGGGGGTACAATAGTAAAGGGGGTACATAGTATACCCCCAATAAAGACACCGCTCGTGCTTGCCAGCACTGTGATATGGTTGCCCCCCCCCCCCCCCCCAAAGTTATACCATTTTTATTACAAATTTACGTAATTTAATAATAAGATAATCAGTTATTTGGTGAATGACTATCGAAGTATCAAAGTGCGAGTCAAGCTTTTAAAGTTTAGTAATTTGTTTTCAAGTTAATGGTACAATAAAATCATAAAATGTTACAAAGTCTGTTTCACATTGCAAAACGTTCACAAAAACTGTTTTTTAAAGCTTGTGCGTGACACAGGGATGAACTTTGTTCAATGAACAAACAATAAACATGCGGATTAAACAGCAGGTTGTCTACTCAAAAACATTATGAGTATTAATAATCATTTATGAAGGAAGTACATTGTTAACCATAATTGATAACTTGCCCAATCTAGGGGTGCACCCCGGGTGAGCACAGTTGAAAACAAATTACGGCGTCATAAGAAATGATGTTTAAAGGGGTTGTCCATTCATTACGTAATCATTAAATGGGTTCGAAATAATTATGCGAGTGTTATTTCCACACAATAGCTATGTATAATATTGATTACGGAGGGAAAGGTGTCTAAAAGTGGTCACAATAGATTGCGTAATAAGTGTCCCAAATAACAAAATTATAGTGACATGAAATTCACTGCATATTACGTGACCTCCCAGTCCTTGAACAGGCACTGATCACATTACGTCCTACATTTTATCATGTTTTAACCTTAATAGCCCTAAAATATCACGAAAGGCTAAGATATGGTCGTTTCAGGGTTCATACTGATGGCTAGATTATACTGATTATGTATATATAATATTACATCTTAATTAGGAATGTTAAGGACAGGATCAGTGATAAAAATTAAAAACTGTGCTATGGCTTGTTCCTCAATTTAGATCGAAAAACCTTTGTTAATTTTAAATTCAGATGACTTTAGAGGTTACGTTTAGCGTTACCAATTTTTTAAATATCTTACCTCACTGAGGGCTACTGGCACGTCCTCTCGCTGACAGACTTATAATGTAAGGTCATCTGCATTAAGTTCTTTTTTACAGTTTACTGGTGATCTAAAAAGAGTTAGAAAACCCTTACAATCCTGAAAATAAATGTTATATTTTGTTACTAGTTTGAAGGTACAGAACAATTCAATAAGTGACATTTTACTTGAATTTAGGAATGAGTTATTGGTCACTAAAAAGTGAATGTCCTATTTATTTGTCATTATATCAGAAGAAACGTTATAAATTAGAAGTACCCAAATCTAGCAAACACAAAACAATTCCCTTAACCAAGAATTGGACGAAAGAGTTTGTTTGCACTAACTGATAGACAAATTCAGCATCAAAAGATCCTATCACGAATTAATGAAGCAACAAGACCTCAAAGAAAAGTCATGGTATTACACAGGTCATGTTTCCAAAGAATTTTAATCAAGGGCACTGCTGTGTGCTGTACAAACTATGAGCTCA